GAAGCCGAGAGAGAGAAGGATCAGTATCCTTCAAGAGCGTACCCCAAAAGACCTAAAACTCCGGTTAGACCACACTCTTAAGAGTTTCTACCTCCTCCCAATGGAAATCAAGCAGTTAACACGTGGACTTTGGAGGGTGCAGACCCAGATCACGGCTCCTCTGGGTGATATGCCGTGGGCTGTTCGATGAGGCTAACCAAGTCAAGCAACTGTCACTGCTCTGTAGTACTCCCGTGACATCACCTCCTGGCCGGGACTCCTCGCTCTGACACTCTTTCGCCAGGTGCCACACTGATTCTAGCCTTCCTGTGAACCCCTCCCTCACTCCGCAGGGAGACAAAGAACCATTTAACTGTGCTTCCCACCCAAGTACAAGGGTCCACATACTTGGAGAGAAGGGCAGGTCAGCCCCTAGGTACATTTGAAACCTACTGGGGAGGGGTTCTTATAAAAACTACTCCATCGGGGCAGGACACAGGCAGCTTCCAGTCCTTAATCAGCAATTCTTCCCCATGCCCTGGCCCGAGGAGGAAGCACACCATTGGAAACAGCAGACCTGTCTCTCCTGAACAGCAGTTGGCAGGATGGTGTCTCCACGGTCAGCTCAGAAACAATGTACAGAGTCCTCATGAGGCCTTTCCCGGCAGGAAACAAGCCCCATTAGTCTTACTAACCTGAGGGTGGTGCATTCACCTGGCCAAGCGTGTGTCAACAGGAAGCCAGTGTTTGCTTCCAGCTCTTACGTCTTCCCTTCACTGCAGAAAGTCCAGGGTGAACTGGGCCAGATGCCAGACCAGTCAGGAAAAAAGAAATCAAAAATACAGACGCCAGCCTGGGTGTGTTAAGAATGGCAGTAAGCAGGCACAGGAGGAGACAGAAATCCTGGCCTTGGGCTAGGTGAGGGGGCACCAGGCACAGCCAGGACACACGGACTAACAAGGTGTCCAGGACTGATCTCCATGCTGAGGGCTGTACCAGGCAATATGTAGCTGCAAAGGCTGAAGAGGACAGTGACAAAGGAGCGGCTGTTTATTGAGCACCTACAGTGTGCCAAGCCTTATATAGGCTGGCACACAACCGCCAAGAATCCTACACAGCGGTATTCTTCAGCAATGAAGCGACATCAGAGTTCAAAAAATGCAATGGGTTAGTATCAGGTCATATACACAGAGAGGGTAGACATGAACCCAGGTCCAACTCCAAAGACAGTCTTTCCTTCCCCTACGAGATCTCTCTCTTTTTCTCTATCTCTCTCTCTATCTCTCTCTCTCTCTCTCTCTCTCTCTCTCTCTCTCTCTCTCTCTCTCTATCACACACACACACACCACACTTCACACAAAAAAAATTGAACCCACACTTATGAGGTCAAGTATTTAAAAAAAAGGCCCTTCTGGGTCACTGCCCACTCCCCTCACACCCCAGGAATGCCTGGAGGTGGGAGGGTCAGGGAGAGGCTGAGAGAGGGTGGGTGCTGGGCTGTGTGCATGCCAGTGTGCCCAGGGAAAACCCAACAGGCTGATAGGATCTCCTGTTTCCAGAGCAAAGCACCAATTAAACACAAGGCAGGTGTGAGCAAATAAAGCCGTGGCATCCAGAGAGAAAAATCAATACTAGATTATACATGCTAACCCAATCATATAACAATTAATACAGAGCAGGTGGGGCTGAGGGCAGCCACCAGGATGCAGAGAACACTGGGCCTGGCCCTCGGGAGCCTCACATCTCCTAAGCACCCTCATGGGCAGGGCTCATGTCCTAGCCCTTCCAGAAACGATCTGCAAAGGCTGCCTGAGGTTTGGTGGAGTCTCCCGTGGCAACGGCAAGGTGTGGGGTGGGGTGAGGGTGACTCCGGCCCACATGAGGAATAAGCTGGATGGACCTAGAGGAAGCAAGTGAGCAAAAAGACATTTTGGGGTGAGGGCACCCACCAGAAAGCAACCACAACCCAGGTTATGCAGGCAGGCCTTGCCGTAACAAAGCGATAGGTAATCCGAGCCAAAGGGAGAAACGGGAAAGCAAGTGTGTCTGCTCTCTCTGAGCGATGCTGGCTCCTGGAGAGCATCTGTGGTGTATGTAACTCCGAAAGTACAATGAGGCAATGGCTGCGTTTTCTAGTGGGGTGACTGCAGGTGAGTCAAGGGTTTGTAGTGCGTGGGGCAGTAGTGAGGGCAGTGTGGCTATCCAGGACACCCCACAGAAAGGCTCCAGACTCATTACTGAGGGAGCAGGGATAAGACAGTATGATATAGTTGTCTGCCAAGACAGTTTACCAAGTTCAGCCATCCCTTGCCCCAGGGAGAAAGCTTTGGCACCGTGAGAAGGTGAAAAGTGCTGGTGTCCCAGGGAAGGAAAACCTGGTTAGAGCTGAGCTAGGGCTGCTCCGCAAGCTAAGTGGAGAGGAGGTGCAAAGAGGCAAGCGAAGGTTACTGCTTCCGCTTATCTCTGTCGAGAGCCTGGGCCTGGGTTCCTCCTGTACCCCCAATATTCCTACATGAAAATCCCAGAGGAAGGGGTCCTTTCTGAGTGGGAGGTAGGTCCATGGGCCAAGTACTGTTGCATGCCAAGGAAAAACAAAATTTGTTAGCCGAATATTTTTTAGACATTTTGCAAGATGCACGGCCTCCCTGACAATTTTTAATGTACTAACTGCCTGGTCCAGTGAGCTGATTAATTGGTGCTGGAGCGATCAATAAAAAACAGAAAATTAAAACAATTTTAAAGTGATTAAGTAGTTTAACACCTGTCTCCCGTCACGTCAGCGCAGGAAGAAAAATAAAGCAGGTGTCGAAGGGGCCTCCTGAAGCAAGAGAAAACAGCTCCTGTCTCAGAAATGACAAATCACAGCTGGCTGATCAATCTGCTGCAGCAAGGGCTTCTCAGGGCCCGGTACAGAGCATCATGCTCAAGGAGCAGGGCCAAGCAGGAGGGCCCATGCATCCAGTGGCCTCCAGTCGCCACCTGCTGCTTGTCTAGGTCATGGGATGGGATGCAGATCTTGGGCAGCCTGAGGACATCTTCCACCGAAACTCATGGGATCCAGAAGGAACGCCCTAGCTGCGGTTTGTTCTCTCAGTACTGCATCGGTGATCCGAGACATGGCTCAAGTGTCTTTCAAATGTAGTTGCAGGCCCACGGAGTCAAGAGAAAGAAAAAAAAAAAAAACACATGGTCACAGTTATCCCTAGGATAACCACATCCTCTTTTCTGGAGATCCCCAATCTCTGCTGTTCCCTTAATCGTACGTTGTCTCCTGGTTTCAAGAGGTGGTGAGGTTGTGGTGGGGGATGCCCAAATGTCCTTTGTGATGCCATCTTTGTCCCAGCTTCACTTCCCTCGCCTCCACTTCAGCTACAACAGGAGCTTCCGAGCAGGACGCTCCTCTCCCAGCGCTTTTGACCTCAGGAAGTCATCTTGGAGCAGAGGAAACAGATGATTCTTCATCCCTGTCTCCACGAAAAGTCCTCCTAGAATGGAATAACCTGGGCAGAAGTGAGGTGAAGTGGCAAAGGTTAGGAAGTTGTCTGTTCCGTCTTGAGCTGGGTGTGGTGGCACACACTGGTGATCTACACTCAGGAGGCCTAGTGGGAGTAAAACAGGTTCAAGATCAACTTAGGCTACAACAGAAAAAATGGGCTTGAATTTTGCACATGAAAATCCAAGTCACCCATGTTCTAGAAAGCTCTATTCATGCTTCCTTTGACTTCCTGGGGTGTGGCACACCACCCAATGACATTGGGACTGGGGCTCAGGCACAGGCCTGAAGTCCTTAGAAGAGGAGCCAGGCTCCCTGACCAACCTCCTGCATCTGGGGACACAAGTCAGGTGTTCAGACAGTCGTGTGCCAATCCTTGCGGTTCACCCTTCTTCAAAGTCCGATGACTCCCTGCCACCTCAGATGGGGACAGAAGAGGAAACTCCAGCAGTTAGTTCCCAAGAAAGCCGGCAGCAAGTAGTTGTCAAGAGAGCACCAGTCCATTTTCTTTTTCCCTGATACAGGTTCTGTGTATTCCATGCAGGTCTAGATCTCACTATGTAGAGCAAGCTAGCCTTGAATTCAGAGATCCACCTCTCCGTCTCCAGGGACCTGGCTCGTGGACTTCTTCCCACCTCTCCTGCCATGTCTCTGCCCACCACACTAGGTACTGACAGATGACCAAGAGTAGGGCCAAGAGCCTCCAGAGTTTTTAAAAATTATTTGTGTGTGCACGTCCTAGGAGGCCAGAAAGACACCAGGTCCCCTAGAACTAGAGTCACAAGCAGTAAGATGTTTGAGAGCTGGGAACGTAACTGAGACCCTTGAACAGCAGTGCTCTTAACCACCGAGCCACCTCTCCAAGCCCCAGCTGTTCTGACAGTGATCATCCAGCCTGATTGCCCTTTCCCTAACATCCCTCTGGGTAAGGACTCCGAGGGCTAAGCACCTCCATAGAGCAATTGATGTACAGCCAGGCTTCAGGTGTCAAACACTTCACACTGTACGGCACAAAAGACAGACTTGGCTCACTTTTAGGATCAACATCCATCGTCTCTAGGCATCCCCTGACCTGGGTGTGGCTTTGGAAAGATGGCCAGTTAGTTAAAAGGTCCTTTGTCTCCAATCTATTTTAAGTATCTGCTCCTACAGGTGTTTGATCCAGGGTCCACTTGACCCTGGAAAAGGTTGCTTAGTATGTGCCCCAGGGACCCGCCCAGGCCCCTCAGTGCCACCCAGAGGCAGTCAAGCAGGGGATGGCACTGCTCGCTCAGAAGCCAACACAAGTTCTTCCTCTGCTGGCCTGCCATTGCTCCCGGCAGAGTAAGCGCAACACTGACTGAGATAAAGTTTCCCTGGGCCCAAGTTCCAAACTCGGCTGTTTTGTTTCTGTTAAAATGCAATTGTTTTTCTCTGGAGTGTGCAGTGACTGCTCCACGTCAGGAAGATGTATGAAGATATCCACTTCAATTCAGCATCCCTTTTCTCCCAGACAAACATGGTCGGATTTTAATAAATCAAAGAGCTACAGTGTTTAATAAAAATTTATTGACTTACAAGTGATTATTTATCAAAAGACCATTAATAGCAGGTACTGAAATGATGTGTTACTGGGTGGTGCTGGGAGACTAATAGGAAATCAATGCTGCTGGCCGGTCGGAATGCATATGAGAAGCCCACCCCCCCAAACAGCAAGCAAAATTTCACCAGCAAAATACACCAGACGCTAGCCCTGGTGCAGTGAAAAGTTCCTCCTTTTTATTTATTGTTTACAAATGAAATAATCAATACTTTTAATCTAGAGCAAAATTTATTAACTTTCCCATCGGAGAGAGACATATTGACTGGGGGAGAGGGGAGTGAGTGCGGTGAAAGATGGATGGCCAGATGGTCATCTCTTAGCCTGTCCAAGGGTCTGTGCGCATGAGTTGGGATATTCCGGGCCACCCAGGAGGGTGCACCTGGAGAAACTGAGTCTGGTAGCTAAGATGTACAGCAGGTGGATAGCACCTGCAGTGACATGGTAGTATCTTTCAGACATCAGCGGCCAGCAGTGAACACCAACCCAGACAGTGGGCATTTGGCAAACAGTAGAAGGAAGCCACAGGGTTTATAGGCCCAGATCGCCACAAGGCAAGTGGCTAGTGTCCACTAGCCAGCCTTTCAATATCTAGAAGCCCCTTGCTACTGTCTTGGCCCACCGTCTCTCACACGCAAAGGTTCTTTCTTCTCTGAAGGATACCAACAGGGAGTGGTGCTGATGTAAACGGGCTCCCAAGCCTGGCCAGGCTGATGTCCTTCTACTGAGCTTCCGTCCTGTTATCAGAGGACTTTTACTGACCCGATTAGAAAGCTCTTTAACTAGTTGGTAACAAAGTCCTGTTTGAGTGAAAACTGTCTGTGATCCACAATCCCAGCTATCCAGCAGGTCTGGGCCCCGAGGTGGTTAGCTTCCAAGCTGAGTTTGCAGGGGGACTCAACAGCTCAAAATGGACCCACACAATTTTAGGGCTCAAGGCTCACATGTGAGCAATGGGCTTCTAATGGAGCTGGAGCTGGAATAAGAGCTCAGTCAATAAAGCACTTGCATTGCAAGCATGAAGCCCTGAGTGTGAGCTCCTAGAACCAATGTTAAAAAAAAAAAGCTAGGAAGGTGGTGCCTACTTTTAATTGCTGTGCTGGGAAAGCAGAGACGACAGACTCACTGGCCAATCATCCTAGGCCAAAGAGACCCTGTCTCAAAAAACAAGGTGAGGCCCAACTGGAGAAAGAACAGCTGAGGCTGTTCTCCGGCCTCCACAAGCACTGCTACCCACACATCTGTATGCACAGAGGTGCACACGCATACACCTACTGAAACTTCAGAGGTGTGTAAGGCCCCAGATTCACCCGGCTTAAGTCAGAAAATAGAGAAATAAAGACAACACAGCAAGGGAGCAGCAGGCTGGCCAGTGGAATCGAGCGCTCATGTATTCAGGCCGTCCATGAGACCGAGTTTGTACCACGTGGCTTTCAGTGACTGAGAACCTGCAGGACCCAGTTACACACGGCGGACCAGCCTGAGTTCCTGGACCAGTGCCAAGGAAAGATGCACAGACCTCTCACTGCTCCCCACTGTGCCACGGGTGAGTGGGATGTGATCCGAGTTAACACAAGATTAAAAACTCTCTACAGATTGTGAATCAAACCACCAGCGGAAGTCTCAAAGGATGCCTGACCCTGGACGTTTTCAGAGGACAGCACCGAAACACTATGTTCTACGTAAGCCGAGACCCACTTTTTATTTTTGAACATTTGTAAAACAGTCCCCACGAGGCTGTTCTTACAGTCATTGGTGTTTTTATTTGAAAAGTGTTTTCCACTGGGAATGGAGCAGGCAGGAGGGAATGGGAGGAAGGTGGGGTGACACCACAAGGTTCTCAAGGGTCAGAGTGGCATCAGTTCATAGCCTTGGGAGCCAGGCTGCACTCCTAGACTTGGAGATCATGTGGGTAGCAGGGAACTCTTCCTTTGGAGGAATTCAAAGTTGGTAGACCTCAGAAGAAACAGAGGCTGACTTTGGTGTTGTTGGGCGGCTTGCAGGCCTGCCATTTCTCCCATGGGTGCATGCAGTGTACCCATCCCTCCTGCCTAACTCGACACTCCTCCCCAGCACTCTGCTCCCTCCTCATGCCTTAATATCTGCAGTGTCCCACAGTTCTCAAATCCAGAATGCCACCGACAGGGCCTCTCTCCAACCTCATCAACAGTTTGTTTCCATGGCTCTCATCTGGGGAGAAAGCTAGAAACAGAGACATGAAAACATCTAATCTGAAAGGTTACCCTCTCCTGAGCAATACTATCCTCATTCCAGACCCTGCAGGCCAGGGTCATTTTCAAGTACTACCGCTGTTAACTGGCAAGAAATACATTTCTCGGGGAGTGAAGGCAAAGTTCCTAAGTTCATTTACCATCCAGTTTTATTTACTCACAAAACAAGTTTAAAATCCTGGGCAGCGGCTGTGAGTGCTGACCTTGTCCTGCCACATTCTATGAAGCCGTCCCTGTGAGACCACCATCCATTTCCTTCACATATACTAGCACTAGAATCCCCACAACAACCCTGTGAGGTAGGTTATCACCACCCTTGGCAATTCCATGTAACAGACAGGGAAACTGAGACACAGTAAATAGACAAGTCATGTGGGGGACTCAGGCTCAGCCTGGAGTCTGAATCAAATCTTCCTGGGGCTAGCTAGCTGGCCAGCGGCCCACTGGCTTCTTCCTATCTCCTCTGCTAATCTTCGTAAGCAAGACACAAGAACTTATAACTCCATCTGCTGAGCGGAACTAACACTCCTGTAGATAGCTTTCTTCTTGTCCCATCTAAAAGCTCCCAGGCTGGAGGTTGTTTGGGCACCTGCCTCAGTAGTGTCTCTTCTGACTTTCCCCAGCATGTGTATGTCCCTACACAGTAACACCCAACATTCTCTCAGGACAAGAACAGGGCCCGCCTTCCCACCAGCTAGCATACCACAGAGCTGCTTTAATGGTCTTCCTCTTACAGGCTTATTATAAAGGAACAAGAGGCATTTTGTCCTGGGGAGCCCCGGCTAGCAGCTTTCTGGTTAGAGGACAGTAGGCAGCGCATGGGGCTCTGATGAAGCTCAGGAGTCCTGGAGCCCAGAACAGCCCGAGGGCCAGAGTCTGGAAGATGCAGCAGTGGGTGGCAGGGATGGTGGCAGAGGTTGTGGCAGCAACAACTCCAGCTGGCTCACTTGTCAGAATTTAGAGGTGGCAGCTCCAGCCAGGGCCAGGCAGAGGTTCAGGACCGGCTCCGGTCCTCATGGTTACCAACAATCATCTTGCTATACAGTTTCTGCTGCTCCTCCTTGAATGTGTCCTTCACTTTTTCTCTCTTCAATCCACCATCCCTGGAAAGACAAAGGCTAATATAGCAACAGAGAAGGCCACTGGTCAGCTCTGCGGTATGACAGATGCATTATATGGCCAAAATCTGGCAGGAATCATGAATCAAGCTCCTCTTTAACTTGAGTTTAACTCCTGCAGACACTAGGTGTTAATTCAGACCCACGGAACAAAAGCTCAGACCCTGCCTTACATCTGTTCCTGTAAGGAAGTTTCAGTGAGACAGTCATGACTGCTTGTTCATGTATTCTCTTTGGTTGCTTTCATACTACAAATGGCACAAATAAGTAGTTGCAAGAGACCTATAAACTGTACAGAAAAAGCGTGTCACCTCCTTTGCTAGGAGATAGGCAAGAAAATGTAGAAAAGGAAATGAGGACTTTCAAACACAGTACACAGACAACAGAGGAAATTCTACATTCTTCCCTCTGAAGTTTCCAAACAGAATAGGGTCATCTCTACCTAGAGGCACAAACTGTCTGGAAGTCCCAACAGACCGGGCAAAGGCCCACAACTCTACATTCCCGAGGACAACACAGCACTGGCATTATTGGCTGGAACTAAGGAAAGGAGCCTGGAGAGTTCTTCTCTATGGCCAGCAGGTTTCATGCTCTGTGCCAGGGAGGAGCCCTTTGCCGCAGAGGTGCATATTCTCTGGAGTCAGCTCTACTCACCACAGAAGGTCTACCAATCCTCCCTGCCGGGCAATGGCAGACTTCACCCTGTTAGCAAACTGCACGGCATCTTCATCTTTCTGTAACAGAGAATGAATGAAAATACTCTGCCAGACTCTTGAACACACACGAAGACTTGCGCTGGAGGACTGGAGACACCTACCTCTCTGGTCATAGGAGGCAGGTACCAAACGCTGCAGACAATGGCCCAGCTGGTCATCATTCTCAGCAAGTATGTCACCATCCCGTACTTGCTGCTGTTCCAGAAGGCGTCACCAAACTGAGGGTCATACTGCAAAAGGAGAGGAGACTGGATGTAAGGACTATACCAGTGCTTGGGGAGGGTCCACAGGGGCAGGGATCCATGGCTCTAAGGTCATGGCCTCCAGGTTCACTCAGGCCATCAGGGATGTCTTTCCTGACCACCACACCCAAACAGTTGTTGCCTCAGAGAGCCTTATCCTACCCTCACAAGCAAACATTTCCAGACAATCCAAAAACAGAATGCAGGATAACAAAATACCAGCCACTCATTTCCTAGGTTCAATCATTAGGAACAGTCCACTGTGCTTGCTTCATGCATCCTTTCCTCTCTTATGAGGCCTATCTTAAACATCAAGGCATCTACTAATGTACATAAAGTATAAACAAAGACACCTTCACACATAATCAACTTTTTCATGGGACATTCAAAGGAAAATTTCTGATGCTGAAGACTAAGAAACACTTACAAAGCTTGCAATATACTATATTAAAACTTAAGTATTGCAAAAAAACCCTTAAGTATTGCAAATATAATTTACATATTTATAATTCTAACAAAGTGAATTTCTATATGGCCAGAAAACTCTGATAATTAAATCACCAGTATTCATTTAAAATGGGTCCACACCTATTAGTCTCATGAGGTCTCAACATACAGGTGTATTAGGTACTTGCGTTTGTCAATGATTTTAATGGAGAGAAAAGGCTTGTTTCCAAGGGTTTTGTGAGAAATGATTGCAGCTCCTCAACCACTAGCCCACAGTAACCTCAGCAGTAGGAAGTCTGGTGAGGAAGGTACATGAGAAGGAACAGGAAGAGCTGAGCCCTTGAGAAGGCTGCCTGAGCAGAGCATGGGCGGTTGCTACCAAATGTTAGAGGAAATAGACAAGGCAGTACACTGACTGGAAAAGCACAAACCAAGGGTCAGCATGGAGAATGAACAAATGAAAGCATCTCAAGAGCGAGCCCACAGGATCGAGGTGCCACCACTGTTGCCTTCCTGACAGAAGGATGTCTGTAGAGTACTGTCATGGCGATTCATGGAGATGCCGGTGGATGGGGTTTCAACTGTCCAATTCAGAATACTGAACTACTCTGCTGAGATTAAGTCCTAACTATAAAAATATAGATTTAACAACAGAAACTAAGAAACCTAACACATTAATGAATGCACCTTAAATACCACTAAGAGGAACTGGAGAGACGGCTCAGCAGTTAAGAGCACTGGCTGCTCCTCCAGAGGACCTGGCTTCAATTCCCAGCACCTACATGTCAACTTAAAGTCATCTGTGCCGGGCAGTGGTGGCGCACGCCTTTAATCCCAGCACTCGGGAGGCAGAGGCAGGTGGATCTCTGTGAGTTCGAGACCAGCCTGGTCTAGAAGAGCTAGTTCCAGGACAGGCTCCAAAATCACAGAGAAACCCTGTCTCAAAAAACAAAAAACAAAAAAAAAAGTCATCTGTAACTCTGGTTCCAAGGGTTCTAATATTCTTTTGTGGCTTCCTCAGGCACCAGGTACATAAGCTGTGCACAGATGCATGCAAACAAAAACAATCATATACATAAAATCTAAAAACAACAACAGCAGGGGCTGGAGAGATGGCTCAGTAGTTAAGAGCACTGGCTGCTCTTCCAGAGGATCCTGGTTTAATTCCCAGCACCAATATGGCAGCTCACAACTATCTGCAATTTTAGTTCCAGGAGAACCTACACCCTCACAAAGACATACATGCAAGCAAAACACCAATGCACATAAAGTAAAATATATATATATTTTAAAAAAGACAGCAATAGTGATTTTTTAAATAGCAGTAAAAAGCAAGGGGAAATAAAAATTTAATACTAATCTAAGGTATATGATTACAAAGATAGGGCAGCTAGCCAGTCGTACTGGAGTACACCTGTCATCCCAGCTACTTGGAAAACGTAATAGGAATGATTGAGCCTGGGAGCTTGAGACCAGGCTGGGTAACACAGGGAGACCTGTTTCAAACATAAAACTGACTCTCTTGTTACAAGCACATGAGCAGAAGCTGTGTTAGAAGAGACCAAGACCTCTGTTTAGCAATGATTCTCTTCCCATCCAGGCAGACACCACGGCAAAACACAAGTTCAATACAACGGCCAGCACTCTCCAAACCAGACTGTGACGGAAGCACTGTCACTGCTGAAGCTGCCCACGTCCAGACACCAGCAGAACTTCAAAACAAAACAACAACTAGAAATATCTGTAGGGTGGAAGTCTGCTATATAAACAGGATGGAAAATTACATGTCTTATTCTGCAGAGAAGTCCTAACTCTTCTCAAGATTCCATGTCTCACAATGGGTGAGAGTCAGGCCACATAGCAGAGGCTCTACCAACCCTAAGTATCACCCAGGGCCTAGAGAAAATGACATTTAGAATTTGGCATGAGGTCTAAATCTTTTTACTGCTACCCCCCTCCCCCAACTCCCGTGATGCTACAGAAGCTAACACAGGGAGCTCACTAAACAGAGCTGGTAAAGTACCTCCCATACACCGTTATGCCAGACTGCAGGATGATACTGGTGGGGCGATGGCTATGCTTGGCTGTCAACTTGACTACACCTGAAATGAATACATCTGTGAGGGATTTTTTTTTCCTTAACTGAATCTTTTGAGGTGGGAAGATTTAACCTTTAATCTGGGCCACACTTTCTTCTGGTGTTAGCCAATATAAGGACCTGGAAGAATGAAGCTTGCTCTTTGTCTGCTTGTTATCAATTTCACTGGCAAGGCCATTCCTTCACTAACATTGGAGCCTACAAGATTCAGGCATATACTGAAGACCAACTAAGAAATCAGCCTTGTAGACTGAACAACTACTGTATTTTTGGACTTTCTGCTGGGAAACTGGCATTGTTGGATTAGCTGGACCACAGTGTGTAAGCCACTCACACACACACATCCATTTGTTCACTCCTGTTCTTTTCCTCTAGAAAACCCTAATACATGTGGGATATAGACTCCACTCTCTACTTTCACACACAGCAGACTCTGGTAAAGACTATTCCTTGGCATGCCATCCCCACTTATGGCTGCCCATCAGTGACCCTGCAGCCAATATTCAGGTATTAGTGGGCTCAGTGTTCTGCTTAGCTAGTAGAAGGTATTGTCTACCTACCCAGGAGTTGTGTGGAAAAGCTGAAAACCAAGTGGACACGTTTCTACAACGCTGCAAACAGACACCCGAAAGACAGGGGCTAAACAGAGCTATTCACAACTTTGGATCCTGCTTGAAAATCTCAGCCTAAGTATGTTGACATTACTGAAAACAAACTGTTTGGGGGGGTAATACTCTGAGGACTAGACTCTTTTAGAAGGAATACAGATCTGCACTAGGCTAAAGGGGGATAAGGAAATTGAAAATACAGGGAGGCTGACTGGTTGAACCATTCCATGTTTCCAGGGTGTCTAAGGGATTGGTTAGGACAAGTTCCTTCCTGAAGGATGGAAACTGGAGTGGAGAAGCTCCAGGATCCAGTCTATCATTGCTCGAATGAGGACACTGACACCCACTGCGGCGGAGTGCTTACTGCACATAGTAGAACAAAGAGCCTTCCATTCTCTCCTCTCTAGCCACTGTACAAGTACAGCCTACAAGCCCTCCTCTGCTACAGCACAAGTCACCTGTGCAATCAAGTGTCCTATGCTTCAACAAAGTCTCTAAAGAACAAAGCAGCGAGGACACAATTACAGAGCTTATGAAGTTTCTGTTTGCAGAACCTGGAAGCCCTTTTCCTCCCATATCCCACAACCCTATGCATCCCACCAGCATCCTCTTCTTCTACCGCTCTGCCCACACAGTCTGGCAGTGCTGGTAGAGAGGGGAGCAGCCCCGACTAGTTCCCCATTCCCACTTCCCACTTGTGCATTCGAGCTGGCCTCAGAGGTCTTATACCTTGATAGCAACAGGGTAAACAGTGGCTCCGATTTCAAAGCTTCCCTTTTTGAACATCATCACTGATGTGTTATTGATGCAGGTTCCTGAAAAACACAGGCAAGAGAAAACCGTTTCTTTCTGGACTTCTAACCAGTTCCCCCCCCCTTCTTATTTCTTTTTTTTTTTTTTTTTTTTATTATTTTGTTTTGTTTTTTTTCGAGACAGTGTTTCTCTATGCAACAGTCCTGGCTGTCCTGGAACTAGCTGTGTACACCAGGCTAGCCTCGAACTCAAAGATCCACCTGTCTCTGCCTCCCAAGTGTTGGGATTAAAGGTGTGCACTACTATTGCCCAGCTACCCAGTGTTTCTTCAGCACTAAAAATAATGCTCAAAGAGCGCGAGTCAATCACCACCCAAATCAAGAATGAACAGTAAGGGAGCTGGACAAGTGCAGTCCTTATTCCTTTTCTCCTGTCAGGCCACTGTCCCAGCCTTAGGTTTGGAGCAGGGATGCCAAGGAGACTGAGGAGTATTCTACGAGAGGTTAGAAAGCTACCTGTCAGTAGAACCACAGAAAGGATCCTGCACTGGCGAGGTACACACTATGAAACGTAACCAAACTTCTCAACTGACCTAAATTGTTAGTCTCCCATGCTAAAAGGCCCCAGGGTTACCCAGGGCTCAGGGCCTAGTCCCCCTCCCCAGGGTTACTCAGGGCTCAGGGCCTGGTCCCCCTCCCCAGAGTTACCCAGGACTCAGGGCCTGGTCCCCCTCCCCAGGGTTACCCAGGACTTAGGGCCTGGTCCCTCTCCCCAGGGTTACTCAGGGCTCAGATTCTGGTCCCCCTCCCCAGCGTTACCCAAGGCTCAGGGCCTGGTCTCCCAGTCCTGTCACTTTGTACCTTCTGGGAAGATGAGGATGGGCAGCTTACTTTTATCTTGTACGTGCTCAGTCAGTCTTTAGGAAACAGAAATAAAAGGAAGAGTCAATGACCTTATAGGTTGCACATAGCAATCAAAGATTTTTGGCTTGCAATATGTAAATCTCAGTAATAAACCACTTGCCCAGCATATACAATACCCTACCAAGCACCACCCAAAACAAACAAGAATCACAGTTCTTAACTTGTTTATTGGGAAGGATATAATGAAAACATAAATAACTTAAATAAATAATACTGTGATTATTTACATCCTTTTTAGATGTCCTAAAACTTTACTACAACAACGGTATAACCTCAGTATAAAGGTTATACCTATATAAAGAAAATGTTTTCTGTTTACGCCCTTGCTAGATCAACTGAATAGCATTTGCCACTTACCTCTTAGCCACCAGGTGGCGATCTTTCACTTCAGAACGCTCAAACCAGATGTGTGGGCAGGCTTTGACCATGGCTCTTTGAATCACACCCATAAGGCCCCCATGCACTTGCCCCACCTAATCTCAGACAGAGGAATAATTAGTAGTGAAGTCATCCTTACACCGATCTTCCCACTCTGGGGAGGACCACAATCCCACAAAATATACACACCAACCTCTCCTTGTTAGTATTTCATAATTTTAAGTTTCTCACTATTAAGAAACCACTACTTCAACTCCTCTGATCTGAATTCCCCTTTGGCCATCAGTGTCAGAGGCTACTCCAGGTAAACACATAAAGCTGAGTAACTTTTAAAATGGTTCTCTGAGGTAATCTCAATGCCTCTCACCTGGCTTTCTCAAGACTCCCTTTTCTTGCAATCTCCTCAGTCTGAGACACAAGACACAATCCCAAGCCATACTCTCAATCACTCAACTCAGAACAGCTTCTATCCAGTCCTAGGGTGACCCTCTTAAGTTGGGACCTGCACATAAAAATATGTTTACATGTCTGAACCCTTAATCAAGGAAGTTTTCTGTGGAGGGCCTAGAGATCTGATCCTAGAACTGATCAGAAAAACCACAAAGAAAGGCTGCGTACCATGGCATAGTAGCCATCGCTGGCCAAGATGATCACATCAATGGGAGATGTATGATTAGCCACACAGATGCCACCATTTCTTGGTCTGTTTTTCCTGGGTATAAAATATATACAAGCAATAAAAATAGCAAGAATTGATTGGTTTGGAAGGCTCCTCTCACCTCACAAGCATCAATCACTAGCTGCAGACAATGTTAACGAGCCTCCCTCACCTGTTGTGGTAGGTAATGATGGCTGTCAGGGCTCGCACACAGATCCGGTAGCACATTAAGTGAACATGTTTACTCAAAAACTCCTTAAACCTGCAACAACAGGACAGCTGAGGTGTTTGTGTACTTATAGAAATATTAGCACACATAGTAAAACCCACAAATGTATTATTTAACATCTTTATATCCACATGCAATCAGAGAAATGCAATGTGACTTGATGACATTCACCTGTTAGTGGTAGAAACTATTTCTAGGCCTAGAATCTCCAGGATAGGCAAGCCAAGGTTTCTTAGATTTCTATTCCCCAACTCACAAACCCATAGTAGGTGTAAGCTCTTTATCAGCCCCAGCAAAACAAATGTCTACGGGGCCTCAGAGCTTCCCTAGGTGAGTAAAGTTTCCTTGAGAAAGAAGAGTAGTGGGGAGAGAGAAAATTACTTCTCAACTTATGGAGCTAGCAGAACCAAGCAAGTAAACATCTTAAAGATTGAGGGCACAGGCCGGGCGGTGGTGGCGCACGCCTTTAATCCCAGCACTCGGGAGGCAGAGGCAGGCGGATCTCTGTGAGTTCGAGACCAGCCTGGTCTACAGAGCTAGTTCCAGGACAGGTTCCAAAAGCCACAGAGAAACCCTGTCTCGAAAAACCAAAAAAAAAAAANAAAAAAAAAAAAAAAAAAAAAAAAAAGATTGAGGGCACAGCAGCAACAGAGAACTCATCCTACACACAGGGTCCTGGTTTTGATTCCCAGCATAAACAAACATGCTATAAAAATCGTTAATACCTGAGCCAAGACTCCTTTGTGGTATCTGCCTTTCTGACTCTAAAATGGGAAGATGGTGAGGGCTAGACTGCAAGAAGTGAGCACACACAGCTACTATCTCATATCAATTACAAAACAAAAGCATTCACTACAGACACCACTGCCAGTGAGAGTATCTGAACCACCTAGGACTCAAGGACTGGGTTGCAGTGTGCCTCCAGCCAGTCCTCACGCTCTGAGGCTGCGACGTCAACTCACTCTACTCACCTCCCATTGGGCAGATATCCAACCATGGTAGTGCCCACCACCAAGAGGCTGATCCCTGTGAATGCCAGTGCAATCCTGTAAGAAGACAAATAGAGTAAACCAGTTATTCAGTGAAAGTGTGAAGACAAAGGCAGGAGCCATAAAAACCACACGTAAGACCTGACAACAGCTTCCCCTGGAAATGTGGGAAACCATTTGTATGGAGAGATGACTGCAATTCCAAACAGACAGTAGAACTATCTCTTCAGCAGCTGCTATGCCCGACACCTGTCTGATCTTGCTTAGTTTCAACACCCTGGCAGAAGTAAAACCTCTGTCAAAAAGGAGGCAGAGTTGGAAGGTGCCAGACAGACTGAGAAGAGCACAGAGAAGAGATCAATACAGCTTCTGAACCAGAAAGGCTATGCTTAGGAAAGAGGGGTCAGGAAGGATGTGATGGTCTCTGCCCTGTGTTCAGTCCCCACAACGAGCAAATGGTCTTTAAGAAATCCAACTAGCCAGGTATGGTGCTTGGAGCACACCTTTAATCCCAGTACTCAAGGAGAGGCAGATAAATATCTGTGAGTTCCAGGCCAGCCAGAGCTACCCAGTGAGGCTCTCAAAAAAACAAAAACATTACACACACATATACACAAAAAACAAAGAAATCCAACTCTTTCTGTATGATATGTAAAGAATATAAAGGCTTGAAGGGAGAGCCCCCAGTATGCCCTTCCAAGAGTAAAATGGACTAGCCCTGGGGGGGGAAAAAACAAACACACTATCCCCCTTTATAAATGGAAAACAAGGCCAAGTGAGATGGGTGAGCCTTGCACACAGGCAGAGCAGCTCACACTGGCCTTCAAGGCCCAGCCTCACCTGAGTGGCAGAAGGAAGCAATACCGAATCAGCACTCCTAAACCCCAGAGGATGGTAAGCCGGAGGCTTATATATTGGAAGTTGTAATTGGTTCTGCTCAACAAGTTCCAAGACTCCAACTCCTCTGCAGAGAATCTCTTTGTCACTTCGTCATCCATAATAGTTTCCATTCCTTTCCGGCAAAAGTAGAAAATGTCAGAGAGCTCAAACTCCGGTGTCTTATCCAGAGCCTTGCTACTACCACTTCGGCGAATTTCTTTGATTTCTTCTTCCAGAGAAGTGGGATCTTTTGCAATGATTCCTGCAAAAAATAAGTATCCCTAGTCAAGCAGCATGCTTCAAGGATCATGTGTATGAACTGAGTTTTAAAGCACAAAGGGCACATGTGCCATGGTCAGATGTGAATATGCTCTCCAGAGTTTCATGAGCAGAAAGAGGGAGCCCTCAATACAGCAGCACTGAGAAGTGCTGGGGTTGTTAGTGGTGGGGGTCTACCATGCTCCAATATATATAGTTTTCCACCTAGGCTCATGCCTACAAGACTGTTTAAACTAAGTGAGTCACTTACACAAAAAGGGCATGAAAGTAGGCAAGAAAAAGAAGGGTTTCTGTAGAAGAAAGGAAGATGAGACAGGGAAATAGGGGGTGAAAAGGACTAAAGTTCATTATATACTTGTATAAAACTATCAAAGAATAAAAATCAACAGATGTGGTAGCAAATGCCTTTAATCCCAACATTCAGGAGGCACAGGCAATGAAATCTCTGTGAGTCTGAGGCCAGCCAGGGCTACACAGATAGACCTTGTCTTTAAACAGACAAACCTGGAATGTAAGAGATTATATAGTGTCCCTGGACAGAGCAGCACTGTTCTTCTCTGGGTGGGTGGTTCTGCAGGGTACATTCACTCCTACAACATCAGGTTGGGGTTTTGGTGGATTTTTGGTTGCTTGTTTGCTTGGTTTTGAGACAAGGTCTCAGGACCAATGGCTGGCTTAGAGCTCACTACGTAGCTAAGGATGCCTTTGAATTCCTGATTCTCCTAACTGCTGGGATCACAGGCATGTGCCACTATGCCTAGCTCTTTAGATCAGTTTGTTTTTAAAAAGTAAGCCAGACACCTACCTACTCTCTTGGCTCATTCCTTGCAACTGAAACCAACTCTTCCTCCCCTCCTGCCCTCTCACACACTCCTGCCATGTGGTACCATCTGCCATACTGCAATGTGGTCAAGGGGCCCTTGACCAGTGGCATTCTACTTCTACCCAGGTTTGCTCTTCTGTCTGCTTGAGAGAGGGGGAGGAATTGGGAGATCAACCGTATGAGTGTGTGTGCTGCAGGAGCACACAGGCCAGAGGTCAATGGGAGCTATCTGTCCCTATCACTCTCCACCACGCTCACACTGAACTTGACGTTGACTGCTAAACTAGCTTGCCACTGCCTGTCTCTAGCCCCAGCACTGGAACTTTACAGGGGTACTGTCATTGAACCTAGGTTTTACACAGTTCTAGAGATCCAACCTGTGTAAATGCAGACCAAGCATTTTATTCCCTAGGCCATCTGCCCAGCCCCTGCCTGAGTTTTCTACTTACCAGAAAGTCAAACGTTTTCTTCTACAAAGGACCCTCAGGTATTTTGTTATAGGCAAGAGCAAGTGGACTGAACCTCTACAAGGACTCTGGGTATTATTTCAGAGGCTCTTTTAGACTAAGGCACCCAATCCTACCGTTGGTGTAGGGCTTGTAAAGCTGGTGGTTCTTCTCCTTGGCTCCTCTCTCCATTCTCAAGGTAGCCCACTGAGGAGGAAAATGGCAAAATGACAGCAATGAGTCTTTTCATCAGTAATCACCCTACTTTGTTAGAATGCGAAAGGTTCGACTCTAGGTGTCTGACACGAGGTAGCAGTCATGCAGCACACCTTCCAGAGAGGACTCACCCTGCCCGCAGGGCTCACACACACACAAAGTTCCCAGCAGTAAAGCGCTAAAAAGTCAAGAATCTATGACAAGATGGTCGGGGTGCTTTCTTCACTGCCTGGATCTGCCTCTAAGACTTAGGAACTGACTAGGAAACATCTCCTTTAACTACTGCCTACTAATCACCACAACATTATCTACTTGTGGGTGTGTGTGTGGGAGAACAAGTGTAAGTCAAGAGGACAACTTGTGGGAAAATGATTGGTTCTCACTTCCACCGTGTGGATTCTGGGGATCAAATGCACAAAAGTATCTGTGCATGCCCTGATGAAACCAGTGAACTCCAAGAACACAGAAACAGATGCGGCTGGTGATATGCCAAAGGAACAAAGAGTCTTAGAGATGAAATCTAAAAGGCCCTGACCAGTCTGTTCTTTTACTTCAGCGTTCTTCCTGCTCCTTGGTGACTTTGATGAACTTCCTCTGAGTCTGCAGTCTTTTCCCGGATGCTTTGACCAACCAGAATCCCCCAAATACACTCAAGCTAGTCAACCAGGTACATTCCAACTTGATGCTTAATTTATGTGCTGATGGGGCAAACTGACTCCTTCCCATTATATAAAAGAACATCTGACCTAGAGTGCTCCTTCTTAAACTATTTTTGGGACCTTTTCCAGTGGCAGAAACCTGTGACTCTACTTTTCAATAAAAGTCCTACTTGCTTGCTCTCAATTCTGTTGTTCTCAACAGAATTTGTGAGACAACAAAACCAACAACTCCACCCCAGGAAACCAGTGACAATGGCTGTAGGTTACTGCTCTCACTGAAAAGTAACTTCACGGAGCTTCTTTTAGCTCTAGAACAGCTCAGTATTTGTTGCCTTTATAGTTATAGTTCTTCCTCTTTGGTTTTCTTAGAAAACAATGCCCAAGGACATTAATGAAGAGATTCAGGGCTGGCCAATGTGCTCAGAATAAATGTCTGGTGATCAGCCCTAAATGGGACATCTAACCATATCACAAAGACACCCCCACAGTCCCAGGGAGCACTGCAGTAGAGGGGACAGAATGCTGTGAACTGCTGTCTTCTGGATGTGGCACTGCTGCTGGTCCTGCACTCACGAACTAACTGCAGTACAGTCACCTGAACAAAACCTGCAGAGGATCAAGCATGGGTAAGGAAAAGGCTCACATGACCCCACTTGTAGCTGAGGAGCTACTAGTAACTGATGTCTTCTGGGACAAAGTAAGCTATTTTTCTTTGGAGGTAGGAACGCTGGTAGGCGGGCCTTGCTCAAAAGGAGGCCCCATATCCATGTGCAAGCAGACAAAACTAATTAGATTCAGTAGGTTATATATATATAAAAAAAAAAAGACAGAAAGAAAAAGAAGGTAAGAAGATAGGAGAGCATGTTCTGGAGGACCCGTGGGAATGGAGAATTTGGGGTGGATCAATCAAATCATCAAAGAACAAACAAAACCTTTTTTTAAACAAACCCAAATGTTCTATCGCCTTCCCTGCCAGAAATCATCCCATTCTTCAAAACACGGCCTTTTCATTACTTTCATGCCCCTCCATAGACAGCAAACAACACTAGAAAGTTTATTGAAAAAAAAAAAAACAAACCAAGTGTTCAAAAATGTTGCCCACTCTGTCTCAATCCCACAATTGTTGCAACTGCATCTTCAGCTCTGTACCACATCATAGTTTTCTGAAAGTTTCCAACAAATTCGACTGTGCAGCTGGGCACTGACCTCATCTTCTCTAACCTGACCTAATTGACTCCTTTTATATGGGTAACAAAATTCAGCTTATTTTCATCTTTTTGCTTATATCCAGGCCTTTTTCCCCCTTTCTCCAAATTACCTTCAATTCAATTGAAAATTAGTTCCTAGAAATTCCACTCCAAAAATATTACTGCAAGCTGTATAGGGAACTTCTAAAGCAAAAACACCCAAAGCAGAAAATTACTCTGAGGTACTCTGGACAGGCATGGACCCACCTGTGGCAGGCACAAAGGTATTTTTCTCCTGACAGGATTAAGTATCCAAAACAGCTGGCAAGCTGCTTAGGTAAGTGACTTATGCTTAGTCCCATTAAAAAAAATAGGTAAGTGTACTTGAACTATCAAATACCCAGTTTTAATGATCTTCATGAAAATAAAATGTAAAAATGGCTAGTGAAATGACAAGAGATGCAGACATAAAATGTATGGCTACACTATTAATATAACCAAATTATGAACACCAATGATCATAGACTGAAGGGCAATATGCAAAAAATAACAAAAGTGTAAGCTATAAGACATGTATAATTATAATTTTTGACATTATGGTACGGTCTTGTTATCTACTATCATATAAAAACTATTCCAAAACTTAACAGTTTAAAAACCCACTACTGAGCTGGATTTGCATGGTGGTATACACCTTTAATCCCAGCAGAGAAGCAGATTTCTGTGAGTTCAAAACCAGTCTATTCTACATAGTGAGTTTCAGGACAGCCAAGACTTGTAGTGACCCTGTCTCAAAAAAACAAACAAATGACGAATAAGAACAACAGCAAAACCCACTACTGAACTGGGTGTGATGATGATGATGTACCATTAATCCCAGCACACAGGAAGTGGAAAGAGGTAGACCTCTGAGTAGGAGACAAAGTCAGTACATTCTTCTTTTTTCTTTTTTGGAGAGGGTCTTATGCATCACAGACTGGTCTCAAACTCGCTTTGTAGCAGCCCAGGATGGCCTTCAATTTCTGACTTCCTGACTCTACCCCCTAAGTGGTGGGGTAAAGATGTACCACCACATCCTGCTTTATATTGTGCTGAAGACTGAACCCAATGTTTTGTACAGGCAGCACACTTTACTGAACTACATGCACAGCCCAAAATAAAGTTTCCCTAGTGATTAAAATGTATAGTCAGAAGGACCAAAGAAATATGATAATCTCTTAGCTTTCTTCCAATTCTAAAAAATATGTACATCATTCCAATTTAGGAAAAAAAATGAAGGATCTTTTGAAAGGTAAAATCAAACATTCAATGCCATGAGACAAAATCTTTGTCCTCTAAAATTCTGCTGAAACCTAACCTCCAATATGATGTTATTCAGACGTGAATAAGATTATGAAGAAAAAGTCCTCAAAATTAAGGTTATAGGGACTGAAGAGATTGTTCAGCTATAAATAAGATCACTTGCTGCTCTTGAAGAGGACTGGGTTGATTCCCAGCACCCACAATTAAGTAGTTCACACCCACCTACACCTTCAATTCCAAGGCATTTGGCACCCTTTTCTAGCCTCCACTGTACCTGTGCACACATGGTACAAATACATATACACATAAAACAGTGAAATAACTCTTAAAAGAAAAAAGAACAGGGTTATAAAAGGGATCCCAGCAAGCTCCATTATCCTGAGGATACAGTAAGAAGAGTCTAAGAACCAGAAGTAGGCACTGACTAGACAATGCTGTCAGCACCCTGTTCTTGGAGAAAGTTTGTTTTTATAGGCCATCAGAAATTTGGGCATTTCTTAAAACCAACCGAGCAATCAATCAACAAATATAAATTTTAGATGTATATACATGAATACACATATATACTTTCTAAAGTTTGATAACACCTTAGCCTGTACCTAAGTACTGTCATTGATAAAAGCAGCATCAATTCTTTGAGTCCCTTAAGATTAATTCACAGGATTGAGCTCTTTGGTAGAGTGCATGCCTAGCACGTATAAGTGTGCACATGCACACGCACAGACACACTCAACCAACTCAGGATACCAAAGATGAAAGCACAGACACTTTCAGGACTACCCTATGCCTTTGCTGACATACACCAAGTCCCTTCTAGCCCATCCTTTTCTCTAGCATGCAGCCTGTTTGTCCAGAGAGTGCTGTGAGCCCTCTGAAAGACTGGCAACATAACTCTAAAAATACAAGAAGTTCAAATGTAGTTATTTATTTATTTTAGTGTCCCAGTCTGACTTTGTGGCCTTGGCTGGCTTCAAACTCAGAGATCCACCTGCCTCTGCCTTCTGGAATTAAAAGCACGTGCATCATTCTAACTGGCTACAAATACAATTTTTGAAAAAAAAAATTGCTCATCTCCTTTTGCACTGCTAGGGTTAGGACATGCTAGTTAAGAACTCTCCCAGTGAACTTTATCTTGAGGTTACAAATGTATGAACTATTTCCATTACTACTTTATATCACTGTGCCCAGAACAGTGATTTTCAAGATGTGCACACTCTGGGGGCCTAAGGTTATATGTCCTACAGTAAACATTTAATCATCCCAATGTACATTTATAATCTACATTTAAAAGTTGCAACAATGTACTTTGTTGTTGCTTTTTTGAGACTGGTTTTGCTGTGCAATTTAGACTGGCCCTGAACTCGCTGTGATCCTTTAGTCTCAGCATCCCAAGTGCTGGGATTACAAGTATATGCCACTAGTACACCTAACTTATGAGTGTGTATATTTTATGGTCTCTAACATTTTATTCTTATTATTTTTAATTACTAGGGAGTGTGTTGTGCATGGAAGTATAGTGCCTGCAGGGCCAAACGATGGCATAAGATTTCCCTGGATCTGGAGTTCAGACTGCCCAACGTGGGTGTGGGAATCAAACTCAGGTCTCCTAAGAAGCAACATGTACTCAACCACTGAGCTATCCTCTCCAGCCCCTGAATGTGTACTTTAAAAACAAAATTATGGGGCTGGAGAGATGGCTCAGAGGTTAAAAGAACTGACTGCTGTTCTGAAGGTCCTGAGTTCAAGTCCCAGCAACCACATGATGGCTCACACCCATCTATAATTAGATCTGGTGCCCAGAACACTATATACATAATAAATAAATTTTGGGGGCTGGAGAGATGGCTCAGAGGTTAAGGACACTGACTGTTCTTCCAGGGGTCCTGAGTTCAGTTCCCAGCAACCACATGGTGGCTCACAACCATCTAAAATGAGATCTGGTGCCCTCTTCTGGCATGCAGGCATACATGGCGGCAGAACACTGTATTGTATATGTAATAAATAAAATCTTTAAAAAAAAATTATGAAAAGATTTATTTGCTCATTGGCAGAACAAATCTGGCATGTATTAAGGATTCAACAATCAATACTCTATCCCCTAAGGATTTTACTTGGATAGCAACTTCAAAATAATCTGGGACCAACTAAGACCCAAGCATCCGAGCATACCTGTGAGGGCAGTTTCTTAAATGGAGGAATTAATACTCAAGTAATTGAGGTGGAAAGACCAACTCCAAATCTGGATCATTTCAGGCTCGCAGAACCACCCTAAATCTGGGTCACACCATCTGGTGGCAGCGTACATAGAAGGGCTTGGAAGAAAGTAATTTTTGCTTTCTGCCTGCTTGCCCTCCCCCTGGCAAGTTCATCTATCCTGATGCAGAGGCACCCCCTTCGCTGGTGTCAGGATTCCAACATACACTGAAGACCAGCGAGACATTCAGCCTATGGGACTAACTACTATCAGATCTTCCCTTCCAGAGACAGCCATAATTGAATTAGCCAGATGAACTGGCTAGTTTTATGTCAGCCACAGCTGAAGTCATCTTAGATAAAGGAGCCTCAAATGAGAAAATGCCTCTATAAGACAGGGCTGCAGGCAAGTCTGTAAGGCCTTTCCTTAATTAGTGATTGATGGAGGAGTGTTCAGTCTGTTGTGGGTAGGGACACCCCCAGGATGGTACCTGGCTTTTATAAGAGAGTGAGCTGAGCAAGTCAGAAGAGTCAGTCAGTAAGCAGCTTATTCCATGACCTCTGCATCAGCTCCTCCCTCCAGGTTCCTCTCCTCACTGCTTTTGATGATGAACGTTACACGTAATTGTCAGTGAAATAAACCCATTTCTCCTATCACTGCTTTTGGCCATGGTGTTGGTCATGGTTACAGTAATAATAACCCTAACTAAGTCACTGAACCACAGCCTGTAAGCCACTTTATGAGTAAGTCTTCTTCATATACATTCATTCGTTCTATCCCTTCTATTCCTCTGACTACTACTACAGGGTATACTGCCACAGTGCGTGAGTGGAGGTCAGAGCACGACAACTTTCAAGGAGTCAACTCTCCCCATCCACCATACAGGTTAGGGAATAGAACACAGGTTATCAGGCTTGGCAGTCAGTGCCTTTACCCACTGAGCCATCTGGTTGGTCCTCCATTTTCAGGAAAGGCTATACAAGTATTCTAGGCTTTTTGATTCACACAGTGTCATCCAAGATGAATTAAGCACTAAGAAGGAGATCTAGATTTTTAACTCTTACTTCTGTTTTAAAAATGGCAATTTCTAGGGGCAGGACAGATGACCCAGTGCTTAAAGCACTTGTCATGCAATCAGGACCAGAATTCACACGAATGCCAGGTGGGCATGGTGGCCCACCTGTAATTTCGGCATCCGATGTCAGAGACAGGATCTCCATGACATACCAGCTAGAAAGACTGAGCAGACACCAGCAAGCTCTGGGTTTGACTGAGACACTCTGCTTCAATAACTAAGGTGGAAGAGCAACCGAGGAAGATGGGCAACATCAGCCTCAGGTCCCTGACATGCACACATGCTTTCTCACACACAGGCTAAAACAAACATCTCTGAAACAAGGCAAAACACAAACAGACTTAAAAACAGGTTCTCCCAAACATGGGTCCACAGCAACCAAAGGGTGGAAACAGCTCATCAACAGATGAATGCATAATCAAATTGCAGTACAGACACCTAATGAGTTATTGTTTACCCACACATAATACACAAAAGTACTGACAACTGCTACCACGCAGATGAATTCTGAAAATACTAAGCCAAAGAAGTCAAACAAAGAAGAGCACACCGTGTAGGATTCCATTCACAGGACACATTGAGAATAGGTAAATCCAGTGAACACAGTTTGTGCTAGCCAGGGCCTTGAAAGAAGAAACAAGGACAGACTGCTGAGTGAGTGTGCGGTCTTTTTCTTTAGTTTGGGCTAGCTTTGCACAAGTTATTCCCCACTCCGGAATGACTGATCTGGTTTAAGAGCTTCCTTTGAAGTGACAGCAACGTGAGGCACTAGGAGAGGTGGTGTATATAACGCGAACATACCAAATGCCATCGAACTGTGTTTAGAATGGTTTGGATTTATTTTTTGCTTATTTCACCTTGATTTCAAATTTTTCAAAATCATTTTTAATTATGTGGGTATGTGTGCACAACTGTGTGTGCCTGTACAGTGAATGCAGGTCCCACAGAAGCCGGAGGGACTGGATTGCCCTGGAGCTGGTTCCAGGTGCTTATGAGTCACCGGATGTGGGTGCTGGGACTCACAATTGGGTCCTCTAGAAGAAGCAGAACAAGCTCTTAACCCCCGCATCATCTCATCTCTCCAGTCCCACCTTGTTCTTGTGAGAGCCGCGAATACTACAGAATTGGAAGGGACTAAGAAAAAGTGGGGAAAACATTTTAAAGACTGCAGAGTGCTTGCAAAGCATGTCAAAGACCTTGGTTTGATCCCCAGAACCACCAGACAAAACCAAATAAACCTCTAAGATATTACATGAACAAGTGTATTATAGTACCATGGTACATTACTCAAATTATGCAGCTTCAGCTGTGGAAAAGAATTCCTGAGGATTTGGTGACTACTGAAAACATTCTACAACTAAAGTAGCAAATCTCTGTCTAAATATTAAAGTCCTGTGGCAAAGGTCAACTTTCAGGAGATACTACTTCTCATCTGCTTCCATTTAAAACAATCAGTCAGGTTCAACGGTACATTAACTAAGTTCTGATGTATTCTCGATCTTTCTGAAAAATTCAAATCCTCTTTTCTGTGCATTCTTTCTGCATGAAAGCAAGGACTGACCTCGGACTGCTGAGAGAGAGGAAAAAGGAGTCCACTGGCAGAAGCCTTATTATGCCCTACCACCTGTGCTGCACGAGGCAGTTTCCGATGTCTAGGCCCCACTGTGATGTAGAAGGTAAAAGGACTCCTGGTAGGAACCAGTCTTTCTGCTAATGCCCTTCTCTCCCCTGGGAGGAAACCTATCACAATAGGACAACTTACCGCAAAGATCTTTAACAATGTTTTCATGTAGAGCTTTCGGATACCAAAGGAGACTCCAAAAATGGCAGGGACTATAATGAACACAAGTAGCAGGGTGAAGAGGACAGTCAGGGAGATGCCCAGAAGGTTGACAATCAAGCTATCAAAAGGCAGCAACAGGAACATGGTGGAGGATGCAGGTTAGGCCGGTGCCCTCCTTTCTACACACAAACGCGTCTTCAGATGGTCCCTTCCAACAGAACAAGCCTTGGAAAGGAAGTCAGTTCCACATGGGTGACAAACTCCATCTCAAAGTTCATGTCATCCAACTGTCTGAATACAGAGTTGTAGAAATGAGCCACAGGAGAACCCCAGAAATTCCAGGTCTCCCTGGCACAGATAGAGCTGTGGTGAACAAGGCAGGACAAGGCTTCAGGAACGGCATCCGAGTCCTTACTAAGTTTCCGGGCAAGTGAGTGGCAAGGGAGAGCTTTCTGTTCAGCTATGTGGGCTGCTTCCAAGGTTTTACTTTTTTTCCTGCCCCAAAGCATTCAGCAGATGAATTTGTCCTAAAGGTCTGTATTGCCAGAAGTACCAAGAAGAGTTCACCTTGATGCCAGAAGAATCCTGATAATTCCAGTAGACAAAAGTAATTGCTGGCACGTCACACCAAAGGCTTCTGAATGTCAGTATGCAGAAATTAAGTAACTTTTACTTAGAATTCCTTCATAAGGTAAAACTGAGTTCACTGTAAAGAGTTCATAGCTAGTCCCATGCTCCCTTGTGGGGGGCTCCCGGTGCTGGCTGCTCCAGGACCCTCCTATCTGGAGAGCCCCAGCTTTTGCCAGTAACAAACAGAGGCTGGCACAGAACGTCTCATGCTGACTGTACCGAGCACTATTCCAGACACGCCTGGCATTGGTGTCCTCTGATATTCTTCTCCCTTAAGGCACCCTTCTCAGCGGTGACCCGGATTCTTGGCAAAAGGTTGTTTACATGCTGCCAGGGCTGGGGGTGGAAACAGAAACACCATCAGTCACACAAATCAAGACGAGAAATGTCAGTAAGTCTACATGTGTGGCAAGGGAGAGCTGTTTTAGGGTGAACCCACAGCCAGCTTCCCTAGTCATCAAGGTCAAAGGGAGCAGGCAAATAAATATACAGGTTTCCATAGTGAGAGAAGCTGTGGCCACACCAACTTTCTGATAGCATGCATTTATTTATTTATTTGTTTGTTTGTTTATTTATTTAATAAAAAAATGTACAATATTCTGTCTGTGTGTGTATGCCTGCAGGCCAGAAGAGGGCACCAGACCCCATTACAGATGGTTGTGAGCCACCATGTGGTTGCTGGGAATTGAACTCAGGACCTTTGGAAGAGCAGGCAGCGCTCTTAACCACTGAGCCATCTCTCCAGCCCATGATAGCACGCATTCTGAAAGGTAAGGGTATAGTATGGAATGTAAATCCCATTCTGACTTGTCCTATACTTACCTTAGAGTTCTTCATAACAGATGAGACTAGCTTTGTATTCTTCCCAATATAATTTCTACTTACAAGGGAAAACCATTTGTTCCTGTCTGTCTCAGCACCAAGCAACAAAAATGAGGGCATTACTAACAAGGCATGCTGTTCTTCACCTTGCTTTTTACTTTGTCTTAATTAACTTGGAAGAGAGTTTTATAAGTAAAAACAGAGCTCTCCCACTCTTTGCAGGTGCACAGTTTGTAACTAAAACAACACAACAGGATTATCCCCAGACTAAACACTACTAATTCCACCCTTATTAAATACTGCTGTACTAAATAATCCTAGCATACATGATTTAGTACCAGCAAAATTCCTAGAATAATAGAACTGTAGAGGAAAAGGAAATACACGCTTAAATTTTTACAAGATATTTATCACATTTCTTCCATAGAAATTAAGCCCTTCCAGTCCACTTCACTACACTGGCTGCTCATTTTAAAATTCTACTATTAAAGTATTTCATACAAGTAGTCCAATATACAGCACTCATTCCAAATTACAATTTACCAATCAATGCAAGTCCTGAACTTGGGTGCACCCTATCAAATCTTTCTAGCAAAAATGTTTTCCATGTGGTGTTAGGATAGAACCCAGGGCCTTCCCTGACTATGCTAGGCAAATCCTCTGTAACAGAGCTACCCCCCAGGAACGACCTACCAGTGTTGTTCAAGAAACTGAACAAATAGGTAATGACTTACCAGCAATTTTGACCAACATTTATGAACTAATGTGTGTTATCTCAGGGCTGGCAAAGTAGCTTAGTAGGCCCTTGCCACCAAGCTTAAGACCCTGAGTCTGGTCCCCAGGAACCATATGTTATGAGGTATAATTAATTTTCACAAGTTGCCCTCTAACTTCCATATAAGTACCACAGAACATGCATATGTACACATATAAACAAAAAATAAACAAATGAAATTAAAAAATGGAATTCCATCTGGCACTGAGCTAAAAGCATTACCCGTACACTGTCCTCATTTATTCTCCCAACAATTGTATGGTGAGTCACCACCACTACCATTTACAAATGAGGATGGTAAAATTAAGGAGATAACTAAACTTCCTAGGGTCATACAATCTGTTAGTACAGCAGATTGTCTTTTATCCCATGTTCTTTAACAACATTTATGGCTTCCTGCATCCCAAACTACCCTGAAATAATCAGTACCTTACTTATGCAAGGTGCTATTGGATTTCCTAGAGAGAAAAACCACAGGATAGATCTGGAATCACATATCAGAATTAGCTGTTCTCAGAATCCAAGTACATGGGTGTTTTTTTTAAATCTTATAAACTGGCTATTATTATTATTATACATGCCAGATTTCTAACCACATCCCCAAAGTGACTGAGGAATTTGCGTCACTGTGTTCCTTACACCTGTCAGGGCCTAGCCCAAATCAAGGGCCACCCCTCCACTCTCCCCTCTATCCTGGCCCCTGTTCCCCTTGGCCAGCATTCCCATGAGAAGATACAGCAAGAGCCCTCTGTCCCATTGCCCAAGGTTACCTTGTGTTCCACAGGCCAGCATGACTGTCACATACCAAATCTGACCCCACTTGCCAAAGTTTTGAACATTCTTCTTTGTATCACAAACCAGTTCAGAATTCCCAGGGTTATTCTGGGTTCATGTCCCCAAAACACTAAAATAAACACATGTAGCAACACACTCATTTCTTCAGTTAGTTCAGGAGTAGGCCAAGTACATATATCTGGCTATGGCTTGTTTTATAAGGCTCTGGAGCTTGGTATGGCTTTTACAGTTTTAAAAAGATATGGAAATAAGGGTGTGTGCCAGAAACCAGGGACTGCAAAAGCCTAAAATACTGACCACTGAGCCTTCACAGAAATGGCTTGTACCTATCCTTTTTTCCATGAGAGGTGATGGCCTCTCCTCTCCCCTCCCCTCACCCCTCCTAGAGTACTTGCTCAAGAAAGCTGGACTCTAAAGCAGAGAACACTAAACTAGTCTGACAAGTTCTCTGGCCAACACCAGTACTCGCATAAATTCTTAGAAATCAAGGAAACAATAAACAAACTGCAATTATAAAATAATGTCCTTCACACCTTGGAGGTTAGTAGAAATATTAAAGTCAGAAGTAACTGAAATTCAGAACACTATTTAGGAGACGATATTACTTTGTTTCAAGTAACACACAACACTACCTCTTAGGAATGTGTGGTAGGGAAGCCACTAATTAGTATTTGCTTATTCTCTTAGCTTCCACAGCCAGGTTCCTGCCAAACACTGAAAATCACATCGACCAAAAGCCCCCTGACTACCCAAAAAACCCAAAACTACTCAACTGTTTCAGAGAAAAACACAAAACCCAACTAGTTCTGAGTGTCAGAAGGGAAGATCGTTTCATTGTGGTCAGAGACAGAGCCAATTTGCTGAGCTAGCTAAACTTTTTAATCCTGAGTGGTCTCCAATGTCCTCAATCCTCAGAGTGGCGGATTCAACATACACTCACTGGGCAGACAGCATGTGCTTGGTACTGTGCTAACAGTCAACAAATAACCTGCAGACAGAGTCAAAGGAAAAAGCAAACACAAAGTCACTATTTCAGACGTTCATGAAGGCTAAGGAGGAAAAGACAGGACCCCCCAGAAAAGGTTAGGAAGTAAATTATTTAAATTCATGTAAACCTCTAAGCCAGTTCAGATCTAGTCACAGGCATGTGGCAGGGGCTATCATCATTCCTAAATACAGAAATATTTCAGAAAGTGTCCAGAGAAATAACTCACATCTTCATCAGGTGACCACGACTGTCAGAATATGTAAAGAGAGATGTCATGTGATAACTCTAAAGGCATAATAAAAGCATCCTTTTATTAAAAATGAATGGTTAAAGCTGGTGGGGTAGCTCAGTAAACAGAAGTGCTCGCTGTGCAAACCTGATGACCCAAGTATGATCTCTGGGTGGAAGGGGAAAACTGTCTCCAAAAGGTGTCTTCTGACCTTTACATGTACACACACACACACTCACAAATTAAAATTTAAATTGTTTAGACCACTCAAGGGTAGATACATTTTTTTAAGCACACGAAGTACATGCTTGTCACACATTAAATGCCAATTAACAGTTCATACTATTATTATCTCTGCAAGGAACTGTCCTCTCTCCTCTCTCCTCTCTTCTCTCTCTCTCTCTCTCTCTCTCTCTCTCTCTCTCTCTCTCTCTACTAATACATATACAAAAAGAAGCAGGTAGAGCTGCACCTTTAAAAAAAATCCTTTCAGGAGAAGACACAATAACACTGTATCCTTTTTTAAAAAAGAGACAGTGGGGTTGGAGTGATGGCTCAGAAGTTAACAGCACTAGCTGCTCTTCCAGAGGTCCTGAGTTCAATTTCCAGCAACCACATGGTGGCTCACAACCATCTATAATGGGATCTGGTGCCTGCTTCTGACATGTAGGCAGAACACTGCATACATAATAAATTAAAAAAAACTATTTAAATTAAAAAAATTAAAAGAGACAGACTCCAAAGATGGCCAAAAGAACTTGCTATAGAAGTATGAGGACCAGAGTTCACATTGTAGCACATACACAGTAAGCCTGGTGTCCAGAGTACAACTGTAACCCTAGCTCTGAGGCTGGTGAAAACAGGAGGAGCACTAGGGATTGCTGGCTTCCAGCCAAGCTCAAAAAAGGAAAAAGAAAAAGAAACATTAAGTCCCAGGTTTAAGGAGAGACTCTACCTTAAAAAGAATAGGAAGACCTCAACCAAAGAATGGATAAGGAAAATGTGGTACATTTACACAATGGAAATTTACACAAAGAAAAAAATAACATCTTAAATTTTGCAGGCAAATGGATGGAGCTTAGAAAACATCATTTTGAGTGAGGTAACCCAGACCTAGAAAGACAATTATCAAATGTACTCACTCATAAGTGGCTTTTAAACATAAAGCAAAGAAAACCAACCTACAAATCACAATCCCAGAGAAGCTAGACAACAATGAGGACCCTAAGAAAGACGTACATAGATCTAATCTACATGAAAAGTAGAAAAAAGACATTATCTCCTGAGTAAATTGGAAACATGGGAATCTTGAGAGAGGGTTGAAGGGGAAGGGAGAGGCAAGGAGGGGAGCAGAGAAAAATATAGAGCTCAATAAAAATCAATAAAATTAAAAATAAAAATAAAACAAACAGGCAGAGAAGGAGGGTGAGAGGATACCTGGCCACCCTTTTCTCTATGGGCCTGCATACACTCAGACACACACATAGGCAGATAAATAAATCTTTGAGAGTGTGTGTGTGGGGGGGGGGGGGACAAAGGAAGGAGAGGGAGGGAGGCAGGATGGATCACGACAGAACACCTGCTTATTCCCCAACACACATAGAACGAAGGTGGGGGGGGCACATCTACATTTACAATGATTAAAAAAAACAATGTTTTAGCAGGATATGACAGTTCATGTTTGTAAACTTAAAAGGAGGATTGCAATTTTGAGGTCAGTGTGAGCT